TAGTGTCTGCCAAGTGGCATGCATGTGCAAAGAATAAACTCATTTTTGAGGACATTGGGGCCCAAAGGAGTTTAACTAGGTCTAATGGAAATTACTTTTTTTTTTTTTGAGAAAAATAATGGAAATTAGTTTAACTGTGTCTGTATATAAAATTATCTCACGATTCCAGTATCAAAACAATAATAGTGCAATATACACCGATCCATATAGAGTATAGTCTCATAATTCCACTGTCAAGATAATAATATGTTGGCACCATTTCCACATAAATGTAACATAAATTGGGTGTGATATACTCTCTCTGTCACAATACTGAGGATAGTTCACAATTAGTTATAAAATTTGTGTAATATTTTTAGCATATATTTTAAAACTTAAACTGTTTTTTTATTACAGAGATGAGTGTAACATTAGCCTAGTTTATTGCAAACTCTCCATGCAAATATTTGGGAGATAAAAATACCATGCATGCGTCAGGTCGCGTAGCGATCGAAGGGGAAGCTTTCACCTCTTTTGCATGATATTCCTTTGATCATGACCCCATTTTTCTTTTTTCACCAACAGAAAAGAAGAAAAAAAAAAGATAATAGACTTCATTCTTCTTGGCTTTTCTTGCTCCTATATACTACATCTCTCCAAGATTCCAACCGCACTTTTCAACAGAGTAAAAGTTGCATGGTTAACTTCAAAAGAACCATGAATTCTATTGTACAGAACAACAAAAAAAGAAAAAAGAAAAGAGCCTTACATTTTTATCTCTATATACACAAAAAGGTAAATAAAAGAAAAACTAACGAAAACTAAAAACTCATACTCTCTTTGTCGAAAAGCAAATAATATTCTATCTCATCTTACTATTTTAGCTTAACAAATTAGTGTATTTTTCTGTTAGTACGGCTATAGGCGATACATTATAAATTATTCAACATTTGTTGCAATAGAAGTTCCAGAACAAGTGAACACTTGTTGTTACATTTATTGCAAGTACATCCAAAGTTGTATACGAGGACACCGTGAATTCCCAACGTTAGTTTCTTACGTTAATTTTCCGTTCATTTATGAATGCATTAGGACGAGGCAGCAATTTAGTGGTTAGTTTTCATATCATTGCACCAAACGGCCGGCCAATGCAATTATGCAACCAATGCTGTTCTGAAAAAAACATATCCTTGTACGTAACTGCGCCTGATTGGACCACGCCTTTATGGTATATAGCCAATAGAGAAAAAATAAAAACGTGAGAAAAGGTTATCTCCTCTTGTATGTTTCTAGGCCTTCTGGCCTCACGTTATATTTGTGCGAATAGTCACCTTCATCGTACTATTTGGGCAATAAGAAACAAAGAAAAAAAAATTAATTAAACTTTACCAAAAAATTATTCAGAAAATATGACAATCTTCTTGCGCAGGTATACAACAATAACTAAACCAATTGTTGAAGGAGTTCTGATTCTCGAAAGATATATACCTACTATAAGATCAAAGCTGGATCAAATTTTTAAGACAGTGGTCAAGAGTTAGCGAGCCGGAATTCTTAAATTGCAACGTAAAAAAGAAACACGGCGAAAGTACAGACTAAAATATTTAATGTCTCCTTACAAAATTTTTCAAAGATTGAAGGTGATTGTCGCTAGTTTTCGACAATGGCGGTCATGACAAAAAAGTGTGATACTAATTTGTAATAATTAGTAAAACGTATCATATAATTTTTTTTGAGAATTTCTGAATATGTTATTATAACAATAATACTCTTTCCGTCTTATCAAAATAATATATGCTATAAAATGTGTAAATTATACTTCTTTTTGTGCATTTTATAATTTGGACTCTACTTTTATAGAACAGAGAGTAAATGATAAAGTATGTGGTAGCGATGCCTTAGTGAAAAGTTTCATGGTCCTTAGAATCCATGTTTTGGGGATAGAGCGAATCCTTTTCGCTCCTGGTCCAAAATCTGGAGTTGAGAAAAACCAATAATGATAAGGCACGACACACAATTTTTGCAACTTGAGCTGAAGATTGAATGTGGTCCGAAAGCAAAGATCATGCGACATTAATTTTGATGTTACATTTGCACATTACAGCGCTTAATATGAATTTTTATAATTTATAATTAATTTATGTTAACGCCATGGTAAAAAGGTGAGAGAACGTTAAAAAGTGTTATGGTATATGTGATACGATGAGCATATTACAAAAGATATTTTTATGAAGAGTTTTCTATAACATTTTTATGTCACACATTTTATACTTGTATACCAAAAACAAATTGAGATGACCCTCCGGTCTTTATTATAAAATATTTTGATTTCGTACTAAGTTTCACCTAAAATGTCTTTTTAATTTAAATAAAAACCTTTAAAACATTTCATTATAATTAGGAGAACACGACAAATATAAGAATATATTTTTAAGGTTTTTTTTCTCATAAAAAACATTATAAGTTAAACCTAAGACAAAATCAAAATGCCTTATAATAAGGACTGGAGGGAGTATTTTACTTTTAAAAACTTGACTAAACATCCTAACCATACTAAAAGTATCTTTGGAATTAAATTAAACAAATATGTTGCAATCTATTGTGTCCGACCAAAAAGGGTTATATGACAATCTTTGTCATTTTCTCGAAAAAACCAAATCACCGCGTCCGACAATCATCCATAGCTTTCTTTGGCACCTAGGCTAAAGAAAACATGCGCATTTATTTATGAACTAGATGGATTAGACGCGCGAAGCTCGTACGTATAATAATATAATATAAAATATATAAAAGAATAAAATTTAATAATTAAAAGATATCAGTTATATATTGTCTTTTACACTATCTACTAAATATTAATGATTCAACAATTTTAATGATAGTAATATGATTATTATAAGAACAAAATGAATTAGCTGAAACGTATTATTTTTGAATTTCAACAGAGTGAAATACAATATCACGATTGTGAAACAAAAACTATGTAAAGTGAAAAATAAAATAAAATCAAATGTATTACCTTAAAATAAAGAACAACCAAAATAAGAAGAAAAAATCTAAAACAAAAACTAAATTGTGGAAGAAAAATATGAAAATGAACAACGAAAGACCTCTAATAAACTTGAGATAGAGAGATAAAAAAACAATGACTTAGAAAGAAAGGAGTAGTAAAATTAAAAATATTATAATTATATATAGGTGATGCATGACTTTCATTTTTTTTATTTATTGAACAATTTAAAATATCATTAATGAACTTTTTAAATTCAAAAAAGAGATGGAAAGAAGAAAAGACAAAATATAGAGTGGCTAGAAATTTAAGATCACCGAAACCTTTTTTTAACTGATCAAATTCACCTAATAATGAGAATTAATTTTTCTGTAGTCTTAATAATAACAAGAGTAAAAGAAAAAATTACTAAAAGTAACATTAAAGATTCATTATATTGTTAACAATAATTAATTATAAAGTAATTATATAAGAGTAGTGAGGATCAAAAAGAAAACAAAGAGACATAATTAATCATGAGTAGTGGAAATGAAAATGAAAACAAAGAGATATAACCGTTTGAGAAGGAAAAAAAAAAATATAAATGAACTTGATAATTATATTTAAAGAGTACTACCAAATTTAATCTTACATTCAGCAATTATAATATATGTTGAAAAAACGGGCACGTTCTAAAAAATGTGGTTACCAAAGGATGTTTTGTTGGCAAAATAGTGTATTTTATTGTATTATTATATACATTGAAAGTCTTGAGTAGTAAAAAGTGATTTGTTGTTTTTTCAAGATTGAATTTTTTATATTCGAATATTCCATCGGGAAAATTTCCCCTCATCCGCCTCAAGTAAGTACATTAAATAATAAAGAAAGTAGTTATCTCAAGAATACTCCCAAACTAAAGGATCTGCTCCTTGAGTTCATAGAAAATTTTGAATTTTTTATTAGCAAAAACAGTACAATTTAGAAATTACAGAGTATTTTTTTTATATATATATTAGTGATGTCTGATCGTGCAATGTGCGACCCTGGCCCAGTCTATCTGTAGATCTTAGAAATATTTATATTTGAAAAAAAATTAAAATTTTGTATTTGGAGCGATATATTTTAGAAATGTTTGAACGATTTAGAAATATTTTATAAGTGTGATCATAGAAATATTTGTATTTCACAAAAAAAGAAATTGTATTTCGCCATGTATGTTTTAGAAATATTTTATAGGTGTTACTTATTAAATATAAATAGATTTAATCGAATATATGTGTTGAAGTAAATGTTAGACAAAATATAAAAGCATCCTAATAAGTTTAAATATTAGTAAGATGATTTATTGATGTTCTACATTGCTCGTGCCAAATCAATACTTAGTTTTGGAGATTTTTAGTAGCTTTGTACTAAGCTTCATCCGAAGGGTATACGCTTAAAAGAAAATTGACACTTTGTAACAAAAACCTAATTGATCAATTCAATTTAGACTTCATAATTAAGTAAAGAAAACCACTCTAATTGAATGAAACATAAAGAAAAAATTTTAAAAAAAAAGTGTCACGTAAAGTGCATAGGGGGATTTAGTAATTTAGTTATGGTTAGACAAAAGGGCAATTTAGTACTTTCTTTATGTCACATGGTAATCATAGGAGGTGTTTGAAAAGAACATTATTTCTTCCCACCCAATACAAAATCATACTAAAATCATACAAAATACTATACAAAAGTGGGATAAAAAAAAAAGAACTCACCACCATATAAATTAGTGCGATCATGGTGCGTAGCCCTATTGTAAAAAGTGGGATAAATTAGTAGGACTGTATTGCCGGAAATGTTTGACCTCTATACAAAATACTATTACTTCTACTCTAAAAAAAGAGTGGGCTCTATACAAAATACTATTACTTTCCTTTCGGTCAAACATTAGCCGATGAAAACATTTCTATTTGGACTGTATTCACTTGCTGGACCATAAGCCCAAAATATTACCCAAAATATTCTAGTTCTGGAAGAGTTTTTTTTTTTCTGCCTAACATTTCTTTGTGGCGGACCCCACATCACCATTACCGTAATTTCGCCTAACATTGTTGTGATCGTAAAGCGGCGGCAAATGGCAGAGCTCCGGCGAGTCAAATTTTCTCGAATTCGCAGCACTGCTCTCGTCGCCGGTGCTACTGCCACGTGGGTGTTGTTGCTTTATAACACTATTGTCGGTGGCTCCATGAGTATTCACCAAAGTACCCAAGTACAGAAACTCCGAGCTCGTTTGCGATTGCCTCTGAAGCTTCGGAACTAAGTAATCCATTCCCATACTTGGAAAAGTAACCAAACCGAAAGAAATGAATTGGAAATGGGATTCAATTGAAGAAATCAAAGAAAGCTTATGGATTAAGGTAGGATTCAATTGAATTTTGTTACAATAGATGCTTGTAGAAGGTTTGTTTCCCATTCTATGTTAGACTAGACGGAAAGTGGTGATCTGGGCTCTGGCACGAGAGAAAATGGTTTGCGACGGAGGTGTCCGAGCAAGGCGGGGTGGTGGTGGAACCGGCGGTTTACTGGCGGTGGACGGCGGCATTTTGATTATGAGAACGTGCAAGATTTTGGAAGAAGAATCGAAAATGAAAGGGGCTGAAGAGCAATCACATCAGTTGTGGAATAAGATGTAATATAATTTACTCTTCTGTACTGTAATGGAGGAGTGGGAATTTAAAAGAGGGAAGAAAACAGAAGAGCACGTGGTCTGCATTCTGAAAGGCATTATGGAAATCTATTAATTTATTAATACCAATTAATGGTAATTAATGAGGTGAAAATGCCACGTGACAATTGAAGGGGAGCTCTTTGAAGTGTGGTTTTTGTTTCTTATATAGTAAGATACTACAGAATAACAAAAGATAAAAATGTTTTAGTGAGTTTCGGCAAATTCATATTATTTTTGGTAGACTAACAAAGACCCTATAACAATAAACTTATTAGTCTTTTCTTGGACCAACTCCAAGAACAACGGATTTGTGGACAGAAGTTTCAATAATAATAACCAAGAAAAAATCATGTGGTTATACCAACCTACCTTTGGTTATAATTGGAGTGTACCATGAAGTTAACATTATTGTACATCCACAGTATTGAAAGTCCAATGGAAGAAATTAACACGCACCAGCATAACCCAATCAATATGAGTAGAACTTTCTCAAATTAAATGACATTGAAGTAGTAATACAACAACATTTGAAATTCAGAAACAAACTCAGTCCCTAAGAACAGCAAGAATGTAAACATTACAAACTGTCCCAAAGCTGACCTAAACCAAATCTTTTATTACAATCACACAGAGGCCTTAATGGCTTGTGCATGCTTTTATTCATCAAAAACAATCAACTGAAAGTAACTTAAAACCAGAGTTTCCCTTCACTTGTGCCATTTGTCAGGCCTTAAACCTTGTAAATAACCTTCCTCTTCGGACCCTTCTGGCCGGGGGAGTCAGCTCCCAAGTCGACACCGGAAGGCAGTGGCCTCTTGGTTCCGGTATTTTGCTGCTCGATCTGATTAGCTCCATCGGTTTTGTTGAGGAAATTCATGAACCAAATTGCAGACCATTTAGGGTACCTTGTGTAGTTATTCCTGTAGTCGACATAAATGGTACCATAACGGACCGTGTAGCCCTCTTGCCACTCGTAGTTGTCGATGAATGACCAGATGAAGTAGCCTTGAACCTTTGATTTCTCACTGCCATCATGAATGAGACATAAAATGAGCTCTATGAAAACAGCCTAAATCCTAAAAAATGAAGTTACAATAAAACAGTATTTAAGGACTTACTCCATGGCTTGCTTCACATATTTCAGATGATCCTGATGATAATGGATCCTTTTCACATCCTTTCGAGCTTCTGATATTGTAAGCGTATGATCATTCACCTCATCATAACCTATGAATCATAAGACAGCAGCGAAAAATATGTTTAATACGCTATGAACAATACTGATCTCCGAAAGAGAAGCTGATTTTCCAATATTACTACCATTTTCTGTGATGTAGACGATTGGATTGTTGTAACGGTTTTTAATGTGCCTGAGGAGATGCAACATCCCAAGTGGAAAAACACGCAACCATTCCGAACCAGCCTAAGATGTCGAACAATTAAAATATCAGGAAGACAGTATAAAACTTGATTCTTGAATTTACTAAACTTGATTGTTTCCGTACCTGTTCCCCGATTTCACTACCATCAGCAGCAGTGACTGAGGAAATAGATAAAATGGACATAAAAAACAGGTACAGTTCAGGTTAAACTCTTCCTCCAGAAAACAGTCCAAAGTATGCAATCCATATGTCATAACATTAGTTAGGTAATACCTTGAGTTTTGACCATTGCATCAGTGTTATAAGAAACAACACTGATCGGTTCGTTGGAGATATCGGTTGCGTATCGACCAGTGTAGTAGTTCAATCCGAGGAAATCAAAGGACCCTCTTAACATTTGACTCTCATCCTTGGTAAATTTGGGAAGCCGGTTCTTCACAATTGTCTTCATCCTGTCTGGATAGTCACCAAATGTGATCGGTGCCATGTACCTAGTTTTTCACAAATTTACAAAGGGAAAACAGAACAGTTATTAATGTCTTATCTGAATATAATGCTTAGATCAATCCGGAAAACAGAACATTCACAAGCACTTCATCAAGCCAATGTAATTACCACCACTTAACAAAGCTACATTTCAATTAAACGCTGCGAAATTAGTCGAGAAAACGATAAAATTACCATCCAAACATAAAGTCAGCCTGTCGCTCAACAGCCTCTTTATCTTGTGCAGTGTTGTGCAATGGCTCCCACCATTGCGATACAAGAGTAATCCCAATCTTCCCTCCTTGACACTAATCAAGAATATCATCAATTTCATTAGCAATTGCGATTAACATCAACAAACTATTCATGTTTTATTTTTGTTTGTCAAATTGATGTGAACTAACCTTATAGTTCTGGCGGTACAACTTAACAGCTGCACCGTGAGCAAGGAGCAAATTGTGGGTCACAATGTAAGGCTCAGTTCCCGGATCTCCGTTTTCGTCGGCGTCGTCGTAATGCCGGCGGTGACATTTGTGTTTAGGAACCTCATCTTTCACATGTTCCGATTCATCAACCGATTTGACAACTCCCCTGCCCGGAGCCGTGCCCTGACCGGTGTAACCCATAACTGCAAATGTCCATGGCTCGTTCAGAGTCATCCAGTTCTTCACACGGTCACCGAATTCCCAGAAGCAAAGGTCCGCAAAGTCCAGGAAATCATCCCTGAGAAGTTTAGATCAGTGGACATTTTCTGACAAAAATTTAGTTTCTCTTCCGGTTAACCGAATTCCGACCAAAATAATAAAATGTTCATATTGAGTATTTTTACGTTCACTTACACAATTTTCCGGTCCAAGAAACCACCATATTCACTTTCCAAAGCTTGTGGAACATCCCAGTGGAAAAGGGTGGCATAAGGTTCAATTCCTGTAATTTTAATTTTTAGTTTTGTACATGAGTGATGAATCCAGTCAAGCTTTAAATTTTAGGGGGAAAATGAGTGAAAACAAGAAACCACAATTGTGTACAAATTTTACCATTGGCTAAAAGCTCGTCAATGAGATTGTTATAGTACTCGATTCCTTTCTTGTTAATTCCAGCACTGAGTCTTCCACCTATACAATATTTTTTAACCAAATTCAATCATTTTATCTTTCTTGTTAAAGGAATTTCAGATAATCAATTTTTCTATCAAGGGATTTCTGCTTTTCAGATTATCAAAAATTGCAGTTTTATTTTACCAGGCAACACTCGAGGCCATGAAATTGAGAATCTGTAGGCATCAAGTCCCATTTTCTTCATAATCTTTACATCTTCCTGAAAAATTTGCAGAAGAACAGGGGAAGGGAAAGAAAAAAACAAAAGAAAAACAAATCACTGGATGAAGACTAACATCTTTTTTGGTAATTCACATAATTTCATAGATCTTCCAACCCAAAAACAAAAAATTTTAAACCTTGAAGCGATGGTACTGATCAACAGCAACATTAGCATTACTGCCATCCTTCACATTCTTGGGCTCTTGCAGAGTGAAAGTGTCCCACAAACTTGGTGCTCGACCATCTTCCGCTGCTGCACCTTCAACCTGTATCATCATAAACCCAAACAGAGAAAGAAAAAAAAAAAAAAACCCACAATTTTTTAGTTCAAAAATTTCCATTTTCTCTGCTTATAATCAACCACACAGAAATGATAAAATTATCAGGAAATAACAGAGGACCTGGAAAGCAGCAGTAGCAGCTCCGAAGATAAAGTCCTCGGGAAAGTCAGACCGCTTAATCTCAGGTGTGAGTATGGTACTTGAAGCCATTATCTTTTCTCTCTGTTTATTTGTTGATTTTCTTAGTTCTGATTTTTTTTCTTCTGTTGATTGTGGAATGAGGTGGTTTTTGTTTTGAGCCTTTGAGGGGACTTATATAGGCAAAAAAAATTTGGCATGCACTCCGTACAATTTAGCACGTTCATTTTGTTAAAATATCAATAGAAAGTTAGAAACTTTTTACGAAGGGTATATGCATGAATCAAACTCGCATTTTATTAATCACGTAAGTATAATCAATGTTAACCTCAGCATTTAAGAATGTTAATTTGTTGCAATAAAACTAAAATATTCTCTCCATCCTGAAATGTAATTATAGTTTAAATTGTAATAAGAATAAAAATTCAAATTGGACCATCAACTTGAAATGTTATTATAGTTTAAATTGTAATAAGAATAAAAATTTAAATTGGGCCATCAGCTTGGGATAGAGGGAGTAACGTTTAAGTACCGCATTTGACTAAGTTATGGGTGTCGATTTGAATATCATGGTATAATTAAATTATTGATTTACAAATTCTGTAGTTCTTTCGGCTAAATTGGATTTTGGACCATTTAAAGTTAATCCAGATTCCAAAGTCACACTTCTCGTGTCAATATTGTATTTAGGAATGGAATTATAGTGCTTAAACTTTAGTGATTTGATTGCCAACCTCCAGCCCTAAACAGGGTACGGTAGAACTTTCAAGTTGAACTTCTTGTTTTTTTCAGTCCAATAATTGTACCCTGAAAGCCAAAGGCTGCCAATCCGAATTGGTGAAGGATTGAAATTTTGAGTACAATGAGTGTAATTAATTCAGTAGGAAACTTTGCATGTGAAAATAATGAACCAGAGAAACCCAATTAATCAGTGACTTTCGAAACACGCAGACAAGAAATGTGAAACACATATGTCGCTGTAGAGGGCCATAGCATAATCACAGTTTCCCTGTGTGTAACCAACCACATATTTTAAGGGTGGAGCATTTTGTGTGTCCACAAATAACCTTATTCTATCTTTAAGAACCATTACACTTGGACAAATATAATCTTGTAGTTTGAGTTTTTACCATTATTTTTTGCCCACTAAAAAACTTTCAACAGTGACCTTCTGATTCAAGTTAGGTTTAACATGTGCATCTTATTGAATTCAATTTAGTGGGTGCTTTGGTTCAAAATTTGCAATGAAATTAAATAGGTAATAAAATTGACTGGGCGTCAATGGGAATGGTGAATGATGAGGGAGGGGGTCATTTTCTTTGACTAAAAATATCAAACCATAGCAATAACAATAGTCTATAGGAACCTTTCTTCGATGACCTTTATTATTCATTATGCCTTACCAAATTGGTTTAGAAATTTAATTTGGAACAGAGAGAGTATTTTTGTCTTTATTTGTTATCTAGGAGCTACGTAAGGATGTCTTGAAAGAACATTGTGTAAGTGTGAATTAATTTTTTTTAATGATAAGTTGCATATTCCCAGTAGGGAGCCACTATATTTAAATGACCTCAAATTTAGATAATTTCATTTTATTGTAGTTTCCATGTTTTAAATTATGAGGGTTTCTTCTTGCGCTGTATGCTGTACACCGTCAATCTTTTAGTCTCATTCATAACGCACAAACAATTAATTCAATAAGAAAACTATTTACTTAAATTACTAGTTAAATTTCTCCAATGTGACCTTAGATTCGGGTTAACAATTCCAAAGTAATTATACCAAGGTAAACTACAAAAAAGAATTTTAATAACCTTTCTAAAAATTATTTGAATGAATAATATAGAGTGGTGATACATACACCATAAAACATTTCCAAAATTGAAGAAAGACATTATAGTTTAATTTTCATCGTTCCGGCATGTATTTATTACTCCCTCCGTCTCATAATTATTGTCCAGTTTGATTTTTCATTTTTAGTTCAAGTTATACTAAAAGTAAAATCTCAAACTGGACAATAATTTTGGACACAGGGAGTATAAATTTTCACGGTATGGATCTTAATTTATAACTATCTTTCACTTAGACCTTTTGACGAAGCTTGGAATTGTATTACCGGCTTAACAGTGGAACTCCGGTAGGGTTTTCTGCAAAATGGAGCCTCAGGGGGTCTCTCGAGGGTAGACACTCCGATGCTTAAGTCAGAAATAGGATTGTAGAGAAGTATGTATTTCGTTATGAGTGCTAGAGATAGTGTATTTCAAATATGGCGTGATCAACCCTATTTATAGGCATGAGATTACTTAGTAGATGTCCGAATCCTACTAGGTTTTGTATTAAGGAACCGCCTCTTTGAAATCGGTTGGACCATAATTGGCGGATGGACCAGTCCAATGATCCTCAATGGATATGGACTCGTCAAGTGCCCTTATCAAGTATTAGTTGTATAAAATAAACAAGACTTGACACAAAATAAATAATACCTGGAAACGGCCAAAATTGAATGAGCAAGTCTTGGCCCAACGTACATCGAGTAGGCCTGATAGGATTGTTCGCGGGTCAAGATCCGAACCAAGAAGACGACCCGCTTCAGGATCTCGCCCAAAACATCAATCCACGTGTCTTTAGTGGGCACATTCCCCAAACGGCGGCACATCCATCATTGCTACTTCCTTGAAACTCACCCAAACTGTCAAGTTGTGGGCAGTAACGGCAATAAATAAAGTCTTCTAGACTCGTTATTCTTTCCCATTTTATTTTGCGAATAGATACAATTCTCCTCTGCTCTCAAAACTTATTCTGTGAAAATCAAATTTCCCCGTACTCACCGTCGTGTCCCAGTTATCATCGCTGGAAGTGTTTATTTCTGCCGAATTGGGGAGAGACACAGTTGAAGAAAGCTATCTCAATTTCTGCCGATGACCTATTTAACTGCCCCAATACCACTAGCGTTACAATTTCCAGAGGGTGCTACCGCCGGAGTCCGCTGCAATTCTGGGAGGCTACAACTCAAAAGGGGAGTGGAAACTCATTTCAACAGTAAGTTTCCAGACTTGTCCATATCAATTTCATTTTGGGCCTTTTGCTTTTCGAATTTCAATGTAGATCAGTGTAGATCTAGATTTAGTGTTGTAAGTAGAGAATCATGGCTAGAAACCCTGATCTGAAAATCGTAACGATTTTGCGTCCACCATAGATTTTGATGAGAAGGTAAAAGCTGTGAAAACGAGATATGATTTGCCCCTAGATCTAGAAGCTAGATCCCCTTTAGGTACTGAAAGAGCCAATTTTCCTCCACAAGGAAAAATCACCATTTATGACTGCTTTTTGTACGTAGGATTGAGATTTCCCCTTTTTCCTTTGTTCGAGGAGATTGTTCAACATTACAAAACTCCCTTGGCCCGATTTACACCAAATCTTATAACATATGTCCTCGGTTTTACGAGAATATGTCAACGGGCAAAAATGAAGCCTTATTTGATTCTGTGGAGGTATTTCTTTAAAGTATCTATACCCTCAACGTCCTTCCAAGATTGGTATATTGTGAAGAAGAACCCTAGATCAAGTGCCAAGAAAATAGTAGAGGCGTATGGCGGTTCTCCTATATGGAAACCGGACTTTCTGTATGTAAAAGTGCCTGAAAAGTATTGCATTGCATGGAATTATCGAGAAACCAACAACTTCGAGGCAGTAAAGGATGAGTGGACGGGCGAAGACAAAGAAAAGATCAAGGAGCTCGCGGATGACTTAAAAGAAACTCGAGAAACACTCCAAAGTGGTTAAGTGGAGCGATGTGCAACATTACATCCCCCTTATTCCTATCGAGGAGAAAGAAGTTACTAACACCCTCGATGTTCCTGTCGAAGAGAAGAAATGTACTAATCTCTTATTATCTCTGTGTTGTTTTTAGGTCATGTCGTTGGGAACCGCTGGTTTCGGACTTTATGGTGACTCCGACCCCTTTAACATTGTGAACTCAGATGAAGAGATGTCAATAACAAAAACGGTAGTGGAGAAGAAGAAAAAGAAAAAGAGAATTGCGAAGGATTCCGAGAAAGTGTCGAGAAAGAAACCAAAGACCAATACTTTTGCCGAGGAGAAAACAGAGTCGGCAAAACAGGGAGAGAAGACCATTTCCCCAGTTATCGAAGAACCTAAGGTGCCGCCCCGCGTCAAGGAGGAGACGCAG